GATGTGTATATAAATTGTTGAAGTACTTTTTGCATGTTGTGATGAGAAATTGTTATTTCATGGATAATGTTTGAAATATTATACGAAAATTTGGTCATTATTATGAATAGAAGTTTAATTTTTTGGTTTGATGTCATTAGAAGAATATGGTTAAATAAATTGTTCATGTTATGTAATTGATGCTATCAAAACAACATAACTAAGTAAATTATTAACATTAAAGTATATATTGATGGTCAAGAATAGTGTAATATTCAATGTGCATGGTAAATGATATAGGATGCTATTGATTATGAGAAAAAAGGAGTAAAGTATGCTATATTGAAAATAGTAAATATTTGAATAATTGGAAGTTATTGTATTGTATAAGGAAAAATTATTTACTTGTACTTGAACAACTTGAAAGTCATAGTGTAGAAATATTTTAAAAAATCCAAACCGATTTATACCAAGGAAAGAAAAAAACTTGTCAAAAACATAAAAGCTAAAAAATTTATTGAAATTAAAAATACAAAAATACAAAACCAAAGGATAAAATCAAATTAAATATCACAAAAAACAAAAAATAACACAACATTAAATGATAAAAAAAAAACCCTTGAAACCCATTTCAAACGAAACTAAATTCCAAAGATGAAAACAACAATCCAAATAATAATTAAAATAACAACAGGATCAAAGAATTAAAAGTCCAAAAAAAGTTCAAACCAAGCAAAACTAAGAGATTCACGTCGTATGGCACGGATACAAAACGTAGTCGCTTGGATCATTTTTTGCTATCATCTGAATGACAATTTTATTATCGCAACTTGTGCCAAAAAGGTCTTAAATGTTCGCTTTCCGACCACTGCCTTATTTTCCTTTTTTCGACTCTGTGAACTAGGGTCCAAGGTCATTCAAATTCATTGATTGTTGACTCTTAGCACTTGGTTTCAAAGATATGGTTGCTCAAAAATGGTCTTCTACTCCTATTAATGGGGCTTCTGGTTTTTGTCTGAAAGTCAAGCTAAATAGGCTTAAAACCCATTTTAAGCATGGGAACAAGGTCTCTTTTGGTAACATTGATGATACTATTAAAGAGCTTGAAAACAAAGTGGAAGAATTTGACATTATTTGCAACCTAAGGGATCTCACAGAAGATGAATGCACAGCCAAAAGACAAGTCGTCCAACAGCTATGGTCA